TACGGTATATATTTTTTCTTTTCGAATTATTATTTAATTAAAAAACAATAAGAATGTAACATAAAACCCAGGTCATGGCTTCATCAAGAGCACTAAGGGTCTCACAAAGGAACAAAGATTAAAATTGTTAAATAAATATTAATCATGATTTTTACAAATATAATACAGTACTACTAACAATTCACCCACTCAGACGAGCGTCTTGCATTCCATTTTATATATTTTTTCTAAGTTGGGCATCTGCGCCGATGGTTGCCGATACAACTTGGATGGGTAACGCAACACGATAAGGCAATTGCAACAGCTTTTTTCTGATAATATCCTCAGTCTGCCATTGGCATCTAGCAGGCGATGTCTTGCCGCAAGGCGTTCACAGAGAGCAGAGATTGATTCGTCGGATGATGGTCATATGACCGTATATGGCGCAGTGTGTACCCAGGTTAAGCCACCCAAAAACTTAGTGATGACCAAGCCCAACCAACCTGGACAGATAACAGCAATGGGTAAAGTACTGACTCCAGTATCCCAGTGGTGTCCTCTATTAGTTTAGATTCAATGAAATTTATCACTAAAAATTGCTTGTGGGAATTTAAGTGGAGTGGAGTGGAGTTAAGATACTTGCCTTCTAATCCCAGGGTCCTGGGTTCAATTCTTGTGACAGGAATTGTTTGGATCTCAGATATATTTTGTTGTATCACCTTCTAATCCCAGGGTCCTGGGTTCAATTCTTGTGACAGGAATTGTTTGGATATTTTGTTGTATCACACAATATCACTTTAGATTACAGGAAAGTTGATTTTGTAGACAATTTACTTAAATATATATATATGTATTTTTTAAATATATCTTGAATGTAGGGCCAAATATCAGTATATATGTAGCAATTTTAATTCTTTTATCTATTTTAATAGGGAGGATAAAGCAAAATGGTATAACCAACATTGAAATGTTGGCATGGCTCAAAAAATGTCATAACTTAAACAGAAGCAAAAAAAATTGAGTATTTTCATAAATACCTTCATTAAAATTTAAAAACATGTTTATACTGTTAGATATTCATTAAATGAAGTAATATTTAAATTTCACATGATTTAGCTTCTAACTCACATGACTGGGAATAATTTTAAAGAAAAAAACAACACTTCACAAAAATAGTTGTAAACCATCTGAGAGTACAGTAAAAATAAATGCTTTCTTTTGTTATTTTACATCATTTAAACCATATGGCTTGAGGTAATTTTTAGATTTCAGATTACTTTATTTTAACTGGTAGTAAAATACTGAATTTAGAGAAGTTTCAATATAATAAAAATGCTTTATTAAAGTGTTTTCTTAAAATACAAAAAATAAAATAGAAAAACACACAACACCACAGAATTTTAAACACAAACAATATCAAATACATTAAGAAAGCGGAACTGAAAAGAAAACATTGTACAAAAAAGGAAATTCAAAGCAAACAATTCTGGATACTGATATTACAATTTGATTACTATTATTATTATTGCGACAAATACTTTTAATATAAATTATCATACTTATTACAGTTACAAATATTTTATTGCCATATTTTATTTCACTGTTATTACAGTGGCGGATCTAGGAGTGGTGAATAGGGTAGCTAGCCACCCCCCTTCGTTTACAGTGAAAAATAAAATAATGGTTACTCGTCTTGTTTGTGTGCTTCTCATGTACTCTGGTACAACATACACTTTCTATTTTAAGCTTGACTTCTTTTTACATGCCACTTAAGATTGTCTAGCAGTCTACTAATTTTAAAACAATCTCGAATGTGAGGGGATGTCCCTCCCAAAACCACCCCCCCCCCCACACCCAGCTCGTGCCTTCTCACCTCCCATTATCCACCCCCCACCATTGCTAAATCTTAGATCCGCCACTGGTTATTATTATAAATGTCATCGAAAAAGAACGGTTTTATGAAAAACACAACAAACACACATTGCAGTAAAGTTGATTGTAAACCGTCTGTTATGAATATGTTTCTCTGCATATGTCTGACCATATGAGGTTTCTAAAAATGAAAGTTTGTTAAGATGGTGGTACCTAATTTAGTGTGTGATTAGTTATTATTCATCAAGTTTTTATGAATCATTTCTCTTTAAATTTTATTAAAAATTTTCTGAAAAGTATGTCCCACTCTAGAGATCATCTTTTTTTATCTGTGATGTGATTTTATTAATATTTCATATTAAAGAATTAAATGCTATTAAAACCTTTGAACGTTAGGTTAAGTTGATGATTTCTGGTGTAGTCAATTTATTTTTAGGGGTTCAGGACACTTTTATAAGCGATTACAGATTCTGAAGTATCGTGTTCAGATGAACATTGCATATATATTATCCTAGGCGGATCAAGGAACTTGAAATAAAGGGAGCCCAGGGAGGGACTCTCAGAAACTGAGGATCTAAACCACCTCAGCCCCACCATGGTTGGGGTGAGGTAAGAAAATTTGTGATTATGGCACCTCTAGATGGCCGGAAATGGCACTATCAGACTTCTATTTATATAAAATTTTCTTTTTTTCTCCACTTTTCAAAATAATTTTTATTTTATAGTTAAGATCTCACGAAAGTGGTACCTTCTAACTTGTGACTCCTGCATTAAGCCGGGCACTGACTGCACCCAATGGTCGTCGATCGACACGATTCTATGTAGAACGCAATGCCATGACGCGGGCGCAACGGATCATTTTTAATGACGATCCATTCAGACAGCCACCGACAATAAGTCGTCAAGTGCTCAAAAGGAGCGAGTTGGATTCGCCAGCCGACGGTCGCACGACCGTCGTACAATGCAGTAAGTGCCCGGCTTTAGAGGTTATAAATGACAATCTCAAGATACGTCATCACTCAAATTTTTTTTGGGACTGCCTGTTTGGAAAAATGATGATAGTCTTGACAATGACATACATGCCTTTCAGCCAGACAGTATCCTCGAGAAACACCGTCCAGATTTGATGAGTTCCAGCCATTGCAATGAATAGCACACTGTCCTTAGGACCACCGATGGCCACATCCCATGGAGAACTAATTGGCTGTTCAGTTCCTTGATTCCCGCCTTCTTTGTCTTCTCCCATTTCACCAGTCCCAGCTACCGTGGAAACCACTTTTTTCTTCAGGTCAATCTAAAAAGATGAGAAGATGAAATATCAGACTTATTATTGGCTTTTCCTGCATTAGCAGAAAAGTCCATTGTTTTTGTTCTGAATTTTTGTCTTATTCTATCCTATTTTCCTATGATTTTTCACAGGGTTTTTCTGACCAGCACTTTGGTCCCTTTCTGCACTTGGATCTTCGTCACACTTTGTCCAAGCAAAGACAGTATATCAGAGTTGTGCATATTAATATGAAGTCATTCTACATATTTTGTATATTAATAAACGGGTCAAGTACAATCAATTAAACTTTTATAATAATACAATTTGCGTTTTCTAAAGCGTTTGAAACTAGCTACAGCTATGTTAAACACAAAATTAGTGTGAAATGCATGAACAATTTTCACCCTCGAATAATAACATTTACGCAAGGTAGACAAACTAAAAAGGCGTGGACCTCCACAGGGGAAGCTTCTTGAGCGAAATGGTATTAGAACTCTCAACATCACCCTTGCTATTATCACTGCAGCCACAGTTCGAGTCTCACTGACTTCAAGTTGGTTTTTATGCTTTTTTTAACTTTATTACAGTAGTATGATTTCATTTTCCATGTATCTTTTATTTGATTTTAATTTCAACATCACCTCTCTTTATGGCAATGAGGAAAAGCCCTGGTTTTACAAACAGACATAGTAAGTCTAGTTATATATTGCTTAAAATTGTTACTTCAACATTTTTTTCCAAACCACAACTTGAAGAAAGTGCTGGCCTAGACCAAAAACATTTTAAATGAGGACACATTAGTACATAATCTCTAATTTACATTATTGTTGAATATTGAATAATAAAAGTTTAAAACACTGTAGTTACCAGACGAATAAGGTGGTTTTCTGTGTCGGCAACATAAATAGAGTGTTTATGCCACACAACACCCTGCGGACAATTCATTCTAGCTTCTTCAAACCGGCCGTCCTTGTATCCACTTTCCTGCCCACCAACCGTGTGCAAGACAACACCCGCTTTTGTTGTAACAAGAACACAGTGATGACCAGTGTCACTGATAACCAGACATTCACCATCCGGACTAACACCCACTTTACCCGGAAACGAGAGAGCAGTAGAGGGTAAAGAATCCTTCGCAAGCTTTATAGGCAAATCATGTTCCGAGGAAAGTCCATGAGTCTTGTAGTAATTAAGAGCGACTGTGCAGAATTCTTGTAGTTCTGTGAAATGTCCCTCCCCAACATATGTAACAAGGCGTTTCCCTGTTGGGCTTACGACGACAAGCGTTGGCCAGCAGGTAATTTCCAGTTCATTCCATAGGGAAGCCATTTCATCATTTACTACAGGATGAGAGATGCCGTACCTTAAGATGGCACTTAGAATGTTAGCAGATGTTTTCTCATTCTCAAACTTTGCCGAATGTACTCCTACAATAACCAGTCCATCGGCAACTGTGAATTTTTCTTCAAGTCTTTCCAAATCTGGTAAAATGTGCATACAATTGATGCAACAATAAGTGAAAAAATCTAATACAACCAGTTTGCCTTTCAGGTTCGTTGCAAAGTTTAAGCTCTTGGTGGTGTTCATCCATTCTAAACCTAAACGACAATCAACAAAAATAGTTATAGTATAACAATGGATTCCAAATTAATAATATACAAATTCTTAAAACAATGAATTATTGACAATATACCATAAATCCTTGAATAATTGCCGCATCAAACATTTTTTTTTTTAGCTAATCGCTGCTCTCGAAACAGGGTTTTAATTGCAATGTATACCGTGTTCAAATGAGTAAATAACACAATGAAGTCTCAAGCATACCTTTATAAATGTTTTTGTACACGTATTGGGCATAAATGAGCCTACCGAACTACAGGAATACATGAGGCATGTTGTGGCAAAATGGCTAAGTTGTAGCAAAAATTGAAATTCAAGTTATTGGTATTTTCAGACACCTGAGTATGTGATCTTTAAAATGAGGGGGTCATTCATTCAAATTGGACATTTCAAGCCAAAGTTATTGGAAAGTGAAAGTACAGAAGACTCTGAGTCAAGATAAACAGGATTTTGAGTAATTGCCTTTCAAAGATATTTGTGCATACATTGTTTAATAGAATGAACTATGAAAAATAACGTTAAATAAACAATTTGTTAACCACTTCCAGAACTAATACTTTGGGACATGATCAATAAGACATTAATTAAACATTTAATTAGATATGGGAACAGGCATGGAAAGCGCCATGCCAATATTTATCTAATAGCGCCGCACCAAATACTCCAAAATTATTATAAGCGCTGTGGTGTTTATTTTAGGATTACAGTTCAACTTTTCTTATCTTACGTTGATAATACAGGAAATTATAGTATACTGCTTTGGCTTCCTTATAATTCAAATAATAATCAATCACTGGATCTTTGATGCATCCACATACTAAAACCATTTTTTTTTTTAAAGTAAATTGTAGATAAGTGGAGAGTGGGCATAACCATAATGAGTGGGCACGAGTGGGCTAGAGGTCCTGTTGCTATATTTTGTATTTGTATTCTTTTTCTCCCTATTTTAATCATGGATTGAAATTTAATATGAAGTGGCAAAACACAAGGGATGTGGCCCTCCAATCTACCCTATCCACACTTCCCAATTAACCCTTTATTCCTTTCTTAAAAACACATCTTTATCTTTCTTTTTTTATAGCTGACCTTTAATCCTGCATACCATACCTGGGCTGTGGCATTTTGTTCTATTTTACCATTGTTCTATTCAGTTCTAATTAATTCCTTCCAACTTTCTTACACAATTATCCTAATATTGCATTGTTATTTGGTTTCTTTTCCACTAATCTTTTGTTCTACCACATTATCAGTGATTTAAATATATGCATATTGTGTAGGAACGCAATTTTATTACACTTAAGTCACTTAATCCCACCTTCTTTTGTCAGGTGCCTCTTCCTTACTTTA